AGTGATATAAGGACGAGCATTTTTGATGGGGTGAGGATTAGAGCCCGCGACACTCAGATTGTGAGTCGAGCGCCTTATCCACCTGGCCATGCCGGGCACAACTAAACGCGAGCCGTTAATTTTCAAATGCATAGCCCGGGAAAGCTAACCACGTGCAGTCTTTATTAATGAAAGTTAAAATAGCATAATAATTAAAGGAAGTACATCTGAAAATATGATAAAAACTGATGAAAACTGCGAGAGCATCCTGAGTCTGCGATTTATGGTTATTCACATGTTATTGCACAAAAAGCTGATGAAAATTTCCATGATTATAATCCACATTTATTAAATGTATAGCCTGAAACAAAACAAAAAATACCTATTCTTAATAAGATACCTTCTCTTGTAAAAAGACTTGATGCTTTTCTCGCCAGGGGTGATGAACTTTCATTTTTATAAATTACTAAGAAATTTTGGACTGGGTGTGGCTTAGTAATTAGCATAATGGATTATGCATCCGAGGATCCATGGTTTGCATCATGTTGCCACAAAATTGCGCTATTCATTTTGGGCTTATGGGGTCGTTGTAAATGTCAGCATGTACCACTATTTTATTAGAGTATTTCTAAGAGTTGGCGGTGGGTGCTATTGGCTGACAGTCTTTCTTCTAGACTTTCTAGAATATACAAACAAATAATTCAAAGGTCCCGCACACAACTTATGGTTTAAATATGTGTGACTCCTGTGGACCGAAAAGTGTGATTTCATGACAAAATGCCATGACGACGGTGTCTCCTTCTACTTCTAACACGTTATATGATATTAAAAGATAATTCACGTAAATAATATTTACTTGTTTTGTGAGAAATTAGATAGTACAATATGACTTTATTTGACATAAACTGAGATGAAAAGAAATAATTAATATATATATATATAAGTCTATATAAATATATTCTTGAGCAAATAACTTGTTTTCGAAATTCGTTGAAATGTAATATAATCTTCATAATATTTTTGAAATATAGAACAGAATTGTTTTGCCTTTTTTTTGCAGGTTCTGTTTGTTCTCCTATGTATCTTACAGCAATGGCAAGTATTTGCTTTCTGGCCACCTTGTTTTTAATATGTACCTCTCTTGGTCTAACTATACAACAGTGCATTTCTCACAACGACAGTGCTGGAACCCAAGAAGATATTGATGCAGCAGTTCGTGCTTATGTAAATGGTTCATTAAACTTCGGACTGGAAATGTTCCGTATTCTTCAGGCAGAACCTAGCGACAATACTACGCGTGGCTTGTTTTTCAGCCCTTTCAGCGTTTGGTCGGCTCTGGCCATCACTTTTACTGGTACTAAAGGATACACAGAGAATGAACTTCGCTGTCTTTTGGGAATTGGAGGCGTCGATAAGGGTTTCAACGCTGTCGCCTACAAGTCCACTCAACGCTGGTACGAAGAACGTAGGAAGGGCAACGACTCCTTCCGGTTGGCGAATCAACTCTATTTTCATTATGATATCCCACTTCGCGAGTGTTTAATGGATTACTTTAAAGAAGATGTTAGCCAACTAGATTTTCATCGCTATCCCGAACAAGCACGATTGACCATCAACGAATGGGTTGAAGAGCAAACCGATTATAAGATCACAGGTTTTCTTCCGTCTTCTAGCATTAATTCGATGACCAATTTTGTTATAGTTAATGCTGTATATTTTAAAGGCACTTGGATGCAACAATTTGAAATTCACAAGACACGCCCCGGTACATTTACTAGTGGCGTTGGAATAGAACAAGAGGCTCAGATGATGAATATGCGAGGGATATTTCTGTACGGAGTGAACGAAGTCTTGAAGTGTCAGGTTCTTGAGCTTCCATTTTCCGGAAATGACTTCAGTATGGTGATTCTGCTTCCGGAGAACCGTTATTTTGGTGTCGACATTCTCTCTCGTCTCATAACTCCTGATCAGGTTTCCGATATTTTCTTCTCTGTCTATCCAACCGATGTGTGGGTTTCTCTTCCAAAGTTCCGAACTGAAAGTAACTTTGATCTTGCGTTCGTCTTACAAAAGATGGGTCTCCGAGAAATATTTGACCCACGATATGCCAACCTGACTGGCTTCACCGAGCACAAAGTGGTGGTTAACATGGATGGTGTTTACCACAAGGCCTTTATAGAAGTGAACGAAGAAGGTGCAGAGGCAGCAGCAGCTACAGGGATACTAGCAGCTCGTTCAGCAAGGCCAGTAGGACCAGTCAAGTTCATAGCTGATCATCCATTTTTCTATTATGTTCGTGACAATTTATCCAACATCATCCTTTTCATGGGTACAGTGGTGCGTCCGATATACGACTAATGAATCTACATCAATTTAAACTAATTGCCTCAAATTAGAAATCCAGAAAGTGCAATGGTAGGAGGCAAGTAAAACTGAGATTTAAGCGCCAGTGTATACGGGGCAGAAGATGTAAAGATTTTACAACATCAAACGTCCTGGAATTTTATATAATGATGATAAAGGGTAAGCTAAGCACTGCCGAAACAGTAGATGATATTTAGAGCTTCGAAGTTGAGGAAGATTAATCTTGAAACTTTGAAGATAGATACTAAGCAACAACTTTGTGTATGTTTTGAAGCTTGCAATCAAAATATAAAACAAAATCAAAATGCTCTTCATGTTTATAACTACCTACCAAAATAATTTTCATTGATGTGATGTTCCTTATCCACACTTACGAATATACACTATTTACTCTGATGACGAAATAACAAAAAGGCAGACAGACAAATTATGAATTTGTTTTCAAACATTGTTGAGTTTGAAAATAAAAATAAAACTTCTAAGTATTGTTATATTGTAGAGTATTAGAGAACAAAATGTATAAGTATTTTTATAATGTATAGAATAACAATACTTAGAAGTTTTATTTTTATTTTCAAACTCTACAATTTAACAAGACTTAAAAGTTTTTTTTTTGTTGTTGTTGCAATATAAGCGGCAGGACCAGCGGCTTGTAACATGATTTTATCTTAAACTCTTTTAATTTTGAAAGGTCAGTAATTTCAAGTGTTCCTCTTCTCTGTATTAAAATATCCATAATGTTTAAGGTGAACATCATATCTGATCATGTCTCTCAAAACTATAAAGTATGCAAAGTTCTATAGACCTCATAAAAAGTATCTTCTTAAATTTCTTATTAATATTAAATCATCTTCGATTTCTAACTTTCACGTTACTGCAACAGTTTCACTTGGCCACAGCGTCAGTTTCAACTTTATATGACACTGAATTCGAATTAATAATATCTTAAAAGTGAGAAAATCTATTTACACAGTTAGTTGAAACAATACACATCAGATACCGAAAGCAATCTGTTTTACGTAGGTATTATTATGATATATTTCTGTAAACTGGTTTCAGTGAATAAAATATTGGTAAATGTCTAAAGGATTAATGCACTGTTCGTAATTAAAACTTTGAACAAATGTTTTGTATCAATGAAAAGAATCATAGCATGTGTGTGAAAATACATCCGCAACTGCTACAGATCTTAGGATGTGAAACAACACCGTGGTGCGTAGATAAACTACATTGTTTTAACGGTTTCTATTGTTTTGCCGGTTCATTTGGATAATTAGGGAAAATAACAATGCAAACTCCAGTCAAATTAATGATAAATGTTTTCTTTCATCGACTACGAGCTCTACAAGTCAACTGATGTACGTTGATAAACCTAACTTCGTGGTAGACACTAGTATAACAACTTCACTTGCTAACTTCTCTAGTATGTACAGCACTTTCTTGTATATCTCTTCAATCGTCGAAACACAAACTCAATATTCACGAAATTGAACTAACTCACTAACTGACTAAGAGTAACATACAAAGTAACTAACAAACTTGCTAACTTAATAATCAATCGTCAACCGACTTCACTGACTTACTCAGTGGTTAATTATCAACTGGCTTTACTGAATAACTCAATAATCACTCGTCAACTGACTTCACTGACCAACTCAGTAATCAATCACCTGATTTCACTGACTTACTCAGTGGTTAATTATCAACTGACTTTATTGACTAACTCAATAATCAACAATTTAACAACTGTTAAAGTGTGAACGCCTTTTTTTTTAAGCTGGTTAAACGTGGTTTAGCGAATTGCGTCTTTGGCGATGGTCATGGCGGACATAGTGAGGTTGAAATACTATTATATACTCTTCTTTGAAAAACCCTCAGAATAAAGAATGTAGTGTTATAAAAACACAATACTATTATTACAAGACATATAAAAATAATATACTGTAACAGACTGAGTGATCATATACTTAGTCTAACTCGCATTTTACTATTAATATCGTTTCCTAAACTTTGAAGAGGGTTTTAAGATCTCTCCCTGGCTAACAACACAATAAATGTCTAAGCTGAATAGCACTGTTGATTCAGTGAATATTTATTTCATGTGTGCGAATTTAGTGAACTTAGAATTTGCTTTAGAAGTTGGAGCAGAAAGTTATCAATATTTAAATCAATTCATTGTATTCATAATAGTTATATATATTTGTTGAGATTGGTTGTTTCTTGAGCAAAACTTGAAGATAAAAAAAAAATGCACTTGATACTATTTATTTGTATTTAAGCACAAATTTACACAATCTTAGGGGATTTAATTAAAAATAACTCAGAAGTATTTAGACATCTTTTAGAAACTAAGATGTTTTTCAATTAATCCGCTAGTTTCTCAGGGTGATTAAGAAAATTTATTAGAAATGGTCAATACTACTAGTTTTAGGAATTCCCTTTCACGGATAAACAGTTCGGGACGTTCTTTGTTGATGTCGGTTTGGTTGGGTTGTTGTTAAGCACAAAGCGATACAATGTTCTTCTCACCACGGGTATCGAAACTCGATTTTTAACGTCGTAAGCTTACAAACCTGACGCAGAGCCACTGTAGGGCTGTTGAAGTTGGTTTACGCAAGTAAAGCGAAAACTAGATAAATTAATAGCTCATAAAGTGAAGTTCTTATTAAAATCTTGAAACAGCAACAGAAGGTATACAGAATTTGCCATGGTAAAAATTACTTAAAATTTATAATTATACTTTCTCAAATTCCTTTTTTTTTCTCTAGCAACAAATTGCGGAAAAAATGTGTTAGGTGATTACATGAAATCTACGTTTTCCAGTAAAGCAATAATTTTGTAAAAGTTGGTAAATAATGGCTATTTGGACTTGTGTAACTTTAAGATATATAATTAATTTTCGTTCTTGTCGTTATATGCTTTTCGTAGAAGAAAACCTAGACTGGATTCCCCCATGCTCTTTATTACTAATCCTTTATAGGAGTACTTCTTGCAAAAGTTCATTAGTAATTAATTAAAGATACCGTAAGGGGGAGACCTTGTTTGTTTGTTTGTTTTTGAATTTCGCGC